TTATTGATATCATTGTCATTATTGTTACTAATTTTAATCGAAGTGCAAGGAAACACAAGGTCAGTTTAGCTGCACGTTTATCCATGCTCACATCAGAACAGCTGCCTGTGACTAAGTCACCATGGATACCCAACTGCCACCTCCTGCAGTGGCTTTTGGCAAAGTGTAAACACTGTCCTGTACCACAGCATGACTGTGAGCCTGAACCCTTCCCATGTGCTTTCTTTGTCCTTGGTCAGGAATGTGCTCCTTGGCAGGGCAGCAGATCTGCAGGAAGCACTTTTGGGGTCAGTGTTTTCATGCACACCTTCACTGAGTGCTGGAAAAACCCACCTTACTGTAGTCTGGTCCCTCTGGCTGCTGGGGCAGGGTACACCCAGCAAAAGTGAAAGGGTCAAACTACTAAAAAGGGCTCAGGGATAAGCAACAGAGCATATGGCTCAGGACTGCTGCACCAGCTAGCTGTCCTCGAGGCGGCTTCAGTGCGCCAGGGCTCGTGCTTTGGTGTTCTAAGCATGCTGTTTCTCTAACAGCATAAAAGCACAATGGCAATGGGAATGGCTTTCCGCAGATTTTTTTTTGTTGTTGTTTGCTTAGCTGTGTAGAAATGTATTTAATTAGAAGACRGAGAGGTTAAAAATAGGACATTAATATGATATTATTTTTTTTTTATCAAACAAAATGCTTAGAAAATGTTTATCTTGTCTCATGAGAACAACAAAAAAAAAGAGGCCAGCACTTCTCTGCAGTGATCTTTAATGAGCTAAATTGAGCYGCATTCTTGATGCCTCTAGAAGTTTTGGGGTGAAATGAAGGAAGTTCTGAGCAGAATTCCTCATAACCACAAGCACTGGGTGTGCCTGAATGTAGAGCCAAAAGCATCCTTTAATTGTGCTGTTTGTGCTCCTCTTATTTTTAACGGAAGACATTCCCGTTTGAGAACCTTAGAAGGTGACATTAGGGGCTGGATTCTGCCACCCATATTGTCACTGGCAGATATCAGACTCTGGTAACTCTCTGGTGGCAGCCAAGGGGGCTGTTTGTGGGATGGAGCCAGACCTGTGATGTGCAGGGGAGGCAGGACCAAAAACACAACATGTTATGGGTCTGGGAAAGGCTGTGTTATTCGTTAGATTTTTCAGAATACTTTCACAGAAGTTGTGTATTTACTTGTAAAGCAGTGAGCTCAGATGCTGTGGATGAGTGGGGGGAAAAAGGTGGTGAGATAATGTCTCCTTCACTTTTCCTTCTTCATGCCAATAAATGCAACTGTAGATGAAAATTCACTGTGAATGGCTGTAGCTCCAAAAATTTATGTATGTTAGCATTTCTTAAATGAAATAATCCTCCTGGAAAGCTCTGTGTAACATACACAGACCCCAAAGAAATAAATAAAAGAAAATAAAAAAATTTTAACCAAAAAACGGCAAGTTGAGATTTTTAACAGTAAAAGGAGATTTTGTGTATTAATAATTCATGAGTTCTCATTGAACATGCACGAAGAAACGGTGCTATTCAATAGAGAATACTGTCATCTGTCACTGTTTTATTTGACATTTACACTTWTTTTTTTTTTTTTTTTGCCTGGTACTGCAAAACTTTCTTGGATGGCGTGCTAAGATTATTTAAATAAATAATTAAAAAAAGCCAATGCAGACTTTTCATCTGTTCATGGGGAAGGCAGTTACTTGCAGCCATAAAGAATGTGTGAGTAAGCTGCGGCACGCTGTGTTTTCTCACGTATTAGTCCAAGCTATTGCCTAATAAACAGTCCTATAGATGGACAGATAAGGTCTTGAATGATTGCTTGAATAAAGAGAGGGAAGGGTAGAAAAAGAGCAGCGAAAGGACAGATGCAGATAAGTGTACACATGCACGCAGCGKGTATGCGTGTGTATGTGTGGGGGTGAGCGAATAATGGCTCTTGTGAAGAAAGCTGACACAAATACATTGCAAAAATAAATATTTATAAATGGCGCTGGGGGAGATCCAGTCTCGCACAACGTGAGAGGAGACAGGGCATTTAGCACAATGACAATTCAGTTAGGCGCACCTTGCAATTTCTTGCTAATATTAGGCTCATGGAAATCTTTCTGCTCTGTAGGTTAGTTATTATTTATAAAAATCACAGAACCAGCTGATACATTCATAAGCTAATTATTGTAGCAGCTGGGTACACATGGTGCAATATGTCTGAGGCTGTGAAGTATCACAGATTTCTTGGGGCCTGCTGTGGTGGGGGTGTGCTGTTGAAGGCTAGATCCCTTAATCTGATCAGCCAAGCAAATACTTTGTGGGGAAACTGGATTAATATCTCTCTAAATACCACGGATGTGCTTCACCTTCAGAACCAGGCTCCTTTAAACGTGCCATTAGCTTAACTCCTCTGGGGAATGGAGAAGTTCTCAGGTGTCCTCAGGATGGCGGGGTCCTTGCCTGGTGCCTCCCTTTGCCAGAAATTAATTTGGTTTGCTCGTGTCTGCACACATGGTCACACTGCAGTCTAATCTTTTCCCTAATAGCTCCAAGGTCAGGACCTCGCATGTTGCCAGGCAAATTGAGCGCTATCCTTCTCAAAGACTAATGGCAGCGAGTGCCTAGTCCGTAATGAGGCCTGTAGTGTTGCTCTAAGTGATTGTAATGAGTGCTGATTATAACGGGACAGATAAATCAAAGCGCGGCAGTCGCCACTGGGCTGCCCGGTCCAGCTCTGCCGAGGGGAGGTGGCCGTGCTGAGCTGTCCCTGCGTTCTGCATCCTGCCCCAGGCCAGCCCAGCAATGGGCTTGTTCTRTATTTTCTGTTTTATGCTGGGTCTTCGTGCTGCGGCATCCCCCAGGAGGTGTTAAACGTACCTGCTTGAAATATTTTGGAACAGGTGAGCTGGAGACTTCTTCAGATCACTGAAAACAGGGAGAAACAGGAGCTTATTTTTTTCTACAGATTTTCCATTTCAAAAATTGTTTCTTTTGTATAGAGGAACCCCTGAAAAAACACTGTGGAGATGGGAGGTTTTCTTCCTATCTTTTTGCTAAAAGAGAGAAAGTTTTGGGGGATTACTGAGCAGCAGAAAGAGGAGAACTGAGGGTAAGGGATGTGGCCAAACCACGTTAAAATGCAGACTTCACCTGGCTGAGATATTGCCCAAATACCAATCCAAATATTTTGAAAATACAACAYAGAGGTTTTTTTTTCCCTAAGTAAATGATTAGATATCTTGTTTTCATCCTTGCCCACCCCCCAGCCCTCCTAGTTTATTGCAAGAAAAGATCAGGTCTGCACAAATGTGGCCTCTCACTTGTAAAAACAAGGCAGTGTTGTGTTACAGATTAGTTTATAAATCCCTGGTGGCTTCACAGTTCAGTGCCTACAGCTGCTGCAGATGGGCCTGGGTTTTTGTCTCTTCGYTGTGCTGCAGCCGGCAGTTGAAGGAGAAAATGGAATGATCAGGTTATTAACATGTAGGCCGTGAGGAAGAGGCTGCACAATGAGAACAGCTGGTGTTGCTGTCTTGGCTGATGCAGCGGAGATAATCAAATCTTGCCTTTTTTGGGGGGGTGAAGGCAGAAGACACAGTGGAGAGTAAGACAAACAACGGCTTATGATATTATACACGGGGTTTAGAGTGCGCGGTAGAAGTTGTCAATGGCTTACAAGTTGTTACACAAAAAAAGCAATAGCAAAAAGCCCCCCTGTGGGYTGGTAATGAACCCGGCCACTCAGCTTGCTCTGGTCACCGTTCAGAAAAACACAGTTTTGGCTACTTCTTGTACCAAACATTTTTAACATTGATCAAGCTATCTTTTAGGTATTGTAAGGTGCCTGTCAAAATGGTGTCAGAATGCTGAGCTGTAGCTCGAAAATGATGAGTTATAAAGCTACTAGGTAAAATATTTTGACAGGAGTCAGTAAGGCGCGTTGACAGCATCCTCGGCATTATCTTCTCATCTTCTGTCATTTGCATTGCGTCTCGTGTGCAGGCACAGGAGGGGAGCCACTGTCCCCAGCCCCGAGGGGATGGCTGCTGGCAGGGAAGGCAGGGTTGGATGTGTCCCACACCAGGCAGTGGCTCACCTGCTGGGGACACTGGGGCACGCTCTGGGCTCTGCTCACCCCAACAGCTCTTGCCTTTGAGCTCTCCTTGCCCTTGGGCTTCAGGGTGGTTTCCTCTTCCTGGAGCGCTGGTGCTTTTCCTTCAGAGGTCTGAGCAGTCGGTCGCTGTGGAGAGGTGCTACAGCTTTTTACGTATAGCAGGAACCCTTTAAAGGTATTTCAAACTAACCTTAAGACAGCGGAAATAAAACCTGCTATTATTATGATCTGTAGTTGGGTTTAGAATTACCTCTGCCTMGTATCTTGGTATCTCTAGTAACTTCTGCAGGACCCTGTTTGCTGCTTTTGTGATAGGTACGAAAGGATTCCCTTTCTATAAGGCTGCATCTTCTCTAAAATTTTATAATTTAAAGGTGTAAAATTTTAGTGGGGTTCAGAGCTGGGGGAGTCAGTGCAACATAGTGACAGCAAATCAGAAGTCTTGATAGTATATCCTACTAAACATTTGGAGTCATTTAGAATTTCTGGTTCTGAAGCTGCAGGTTGCAGTGAGGGTTGTTACCAAGTCTCAGGAGTTRGGTGTTAGGTGTTTGGATGAAGAAGGGACTCTAAATGGAAGTGAAGATGCATCTGTTTCATCTTTGCTTTTCTGTAGGAAAAATATTTATGTCTGAGCATTTTAGACATGGTATGAATATGACAGAGGACAAGATGCTGTGCTTCCTGGTTCCTGCTAAACACTGCTACTTGTTTCAGTTTCTCCAGCTTGCAGGAAATAGAATATATCATGGATTGTCRAGACCAAAGGGCAGCTTGGGGTAGTGGAGGTTTGTGTGTGAGATGAGACCAGCAAAACTTTCAGCACGGAGCTTGAAGTGTAGTTGTCCTTGTGCTCACATCTGGTTCCTGGGTGCTCACTGAATTAACCGTGCTGACCCTACCGTTGCAGGGCTGGCTGTGTGAGCTGCTGCGCTGGAAAGAAAACCCAAGCCCAGAAAACCGCACCCTTTGGGAGAACCTGTGCACCATTCGCCGCTTCCTGAACCTTCCCCAGCACGAGAGGGATGTGATCTACGAGGAGGAGTCCAGACATCACCACAGYGAACGCATGCAGCACGTTGTCCAGCTCACACCAGAGCCTGTGCAGGTCAGAGCACTGTGCCTCTCTGGGGGTCAGTGTGGGAGCAGAGCATGCCTGGGGAACACCGCGGGGTTCAAGAGTGGGACATGCACATGTGCATTTTATGTGTTGGCTCAAATGTAAAGGTACTGCTGAAATGACCGTGGTGAATGGGCCTTCATTTCACAATCTCCTTAGGATTGTTTTGCTACTCTATGCATTTGTGACTAGTGTGAGTTTTTGGTTTGTGCACCCTTGTTCTACTCTTGTCTCTGATATTAGCAGAATAAGAAATAAATAGATACAAATATTTGTAGGGAAAACAGTGTGAAAATACTACAAACTTCGTACATTTGCAGTTCCAGCTTCAGTTGGAAGAGAAAATCAGCCTAACATATATTCCTAATAACCAGAAATGCATGTCACAAATCCAGATATCTACAGATGGTCAAGAAAGGCTCCAGAGATGTTTCTTCAATCTAAAAGCTGAGGTGACACTTTCCACAGCAGCCCTTCCCTTTGAATTGCCCCTGGCACTCAGTACCATTCACCTGATGCCATTGTGTGTCTATCTGGGCTTGTTTGTACTGTGCATTTCTCTGATAATCTCAGTTCCTCCTCCCACCTTCAGTTTTCCCACTGTTTGATGGTGGATTGCACTGCTTTGCTACTCTTGCTGTGAACCTTGGCATTCAGCCTCTATTTTTCATTGCTTCATGTGCTGCTGCTGCTACCACTACTGCCAGCTATCTTGTCACCTTTCTCTCAAGGAGAGAGCTTTCTCTGTCTTGCTGTCCTACCCCCTGCCCCATCTGAAACACAGAGGTCTCRCTCAGATTAATTATTGCCTACCTCACTCCCCTTTGTCTCTTYTGCTAACTTCTTCCTCCTTGCTTTCCTTTGTGTCTTTGCCTGCAAGAAAAAAAAAAAAACAAAACTGTTTCCTGGGGTTCAAGTTCTCAGAGCTGCAAAGTAGGGGAAGCACTCTTAGTAATTAATCTTGCAAGTTTTGTCTTCCATGTTCCAAAACGTTTATGGGATCTTGGAAGCAAGAAGCTACAAACAGGTAAAGGGCCAAACTAGCATGTGGGAAGACAACTAGAYCTGTGTAGACTGAAGCATATTAACCCACTTTTGATACCCACAGCAAGTGGGAATATCCTCTAACAGACAGAAAAAGTTTCCGTGGGATCTTGGGAGTGACCCTGATGATTAGCCTACTTTCCAAAGCTTTGTGCACATCACTTTTCTGCATCATGCAGATTGGCTCTTGTGARTGACACGTTACACTGTGTTGGAATGCTGTGCATTTGTATTTGTCAGCAAGTTACAAAGCCATGGATTAATTATTTATTACAGTCAAAATATGAAAAATGAAGAGAAATAAATGGAACCAGCTGGCAASTACATACAACAAAACTCTGGAGACTCTGGTATGCAGTTGATACAGTAGGCTTGTGTTTTGGGGTGCTACATTTTAAAGCTATGCTTGCCCATCCAAAAACCCCAGTAGGTTTCTGAGTGACACACTACCAGTGCCAGACACAGGAGGCTTGCTGTCCACCTGCTCCCTCCTGTCAAAAGGAGGGATTTTTGTATAGTTTTCATCTCTAGGACTTGAATTGTTTTTGAGAAGCAAGGTTTGTTTTCTCGCTTTGCTGMAAGGGTCACTATTAGGTAATTAGCCATGAAGAATCAATGACAACAGCCAGAGATCTAAAGCTGAGGTCCTCACACTTGCAGTCATTGGAGATTTTGTGACACTTTACATAAGGGTAGGGGTCTTGGGCCTCGCTCCTGGCTGAACTCCAGGCCAAGTAATTACTTTCTGCCTATCTGAAATTCCCCCTGTAGTGTCAAGTGGGAAAACTTTCATTTCCTTCTCAAAGCAGTGGCGGGTGCAGACTGTCTGCCACAGTGCCTGGCTTCATTTTAGCAGGGGGTGGAAACATCCAAGAGCTGCAGTCACCGACCTACTTTGCTTTTGCAGGTTTGCTAGTGAGAAGTGTGCTGTAAGTCAAGCCCTTAGCTGCAGCCTTGATAGCAAAATGACARTCCTTTGAAGAAGATACAAGCAGCAGTGCTATGAATAACAGCAGGGGCAGAACTGTAACACAGAAGCAAGTAGGCTCTTACCTCTGTTCTCTCTGCCCAGCCCATCTTTCTCTTTGCTCTGATGGCTTCAGTGTGTGTACATTAACTTCTGTCTGATGCTGGAGTCTCCTGCTCCTGCAGCTGTGAGACTGGGAGAGCCTGTCACTCTGGGCTGGGGACATCCCCCTGTCAGACTTGGAACAATATCCCAGCCATCATCACAAGAGGCATGAACAGGCAAAAGGTACTGGATATACTGCAGCCTTTTCCTCAGTATGGCTTCTTGGAAAGGGCAAAGATATTGTTGTGAAGGGTTTTTGTAGTTCACTTGCTGCTTATAGGGTTGGGGACATTTCAGTGAGGGAGTTAGCCCAAGGCCAGGTATGGCTTGTGTCTTCTACAAGGCAGGGTGTGCTCAGTGGGGCAGTTGTGTTGTAGGAGATCAACTGGAGACAAGCTGGTTCTTCATTTTTAAGGGATTGTTGTTTCTTTGGTAAGAGGCTCTTGCCTTCTGTTTGGTATTACCAAGCCTACACCTTAGGGTCAGGGTTTTAAAAACAAGCATTTTTATTTTTCTCTCTTTTATTAGATTTTTCSCATCAGCCATATATTAATCCATTTAATCAATTATTTTCCTATYTCTGAAATGAATAATGTCTACAGTGGAAGCTGAGTGTTCAAAAAATTCCTTCCTGCACACTTGATTTATTTGTTATTGTGCTGAGGAGTCATAAAATGTGAGCCCTGTGGAGCTCTGTGGCATGGCTGTGTTCTCTGGCAGTGCTGGGTGTGACCATATGGATGTGTCAGAGCGTGGATTTCCTTCACAGGCTGGTTATAGAGCATCCTGYATGTTGCTGTGCATGCAGGCTCAGCTTGCCACAGCCTCTCATCTGGATTTGAAGGAAAYTGAGGTGTGCATTAGGAGGCTCTCRGTGCCAYACAATGTGGTGTAACAGCAAATGCTGCTAAGAGGAAGAGCAYGTGAGGTTTTTGCTAGCTGGGGTACCACAGGGACATCCCTGCTGAATTTCAGAGTGCCTGGGCCACAGGTTCCTGGAGGGTGGGAGGGTGTCTTGGAAAGCATTATTACATTTTTGCCCTGTTGTCATCCTCTTCCACCRCCACCAGGAGTGGGATCCTGGCTGGATCCAGCCTGCCCTTAATGGTGTGCAGAGTATTTCCTTTGCAGCGAGCACTCCTCGTGCTTCTGCATGGAGCTCCCTGCTCTGCAGAGGTAAGGTCTTACCCTCCCTTACCTTCCATCCCTCACTAAATCCCACCATTCCCAGGCTGTTTGCTGGCATTGGACCTTCCTGGAGYGTTAATGCTGACAAGTGCCTACAGCTGCTTCCCATTGCCAGCCAGGGATTCCGTGTTTGTTACAGACACGCTGGGACACAGTAAATCTAATTTCTCTCCCTTCTCCCACTGTTTGTCTGCTGTGTCCAAGGTGACCACTCCAGAGAGTAACCATCTTGCCTTGGCACTTTAATAYAGTGCTAATTCATTGTTAATTGCTGGGGCAGAGAAACCTGACTCCGTTGGGAAGCCCATGAATCAGGCTCCTGTCTCTGGAGTGTCCGGGTGGCTGAGCCAGTTCACCATTGCAGCAAAGTCCCTTCAATTCAGGGAACGTGGAAACCCTGCCTCTCTTTTTCTGTGAGCTGACAGGTACATCTGCTGAAGCTGATAGGTACATACTTATTAAAGAGCAATCAGATGTTGCTTTCTGATACACTGTTACTTTTGTCACTTTTCTAAAATGACATCCCTCCACCCTTTTTTTCTCTCAGAAGCTTTGATTTAGACAAATCTGKCAATATATAATAGTTCAGATTATAAATCATGGAGGAACGTTAGTAAATAAAAGAAGGCATAGCAAAAAGTGCTAGGAAAGCTCTTCTGTATTGTGTGTTCACTGCAAACACTGTGGTCTCTCTTTAAATATGCAGAAAGTAACATAAGACAGAGGTAAATGAAATACTAATTTTGTARTGTTGTGAGGCATAGAAGGGAACGAATATTTTAGAAATGACAATGAAATACAAAAGAGCAGAACATGGAGCMCTCGTAAAAATGGGTCAAGGCAAGTGGCGATGGCAGCCCAATGAAACTAATTTTGTATTCTCTTTCTAGAAGTAATAAAGAGGGGAAGGAACACCACAGTAGTGCTTCCTAATGAAATATCTGATTCTAAATRATGTCTTGGAGTTCATGGGTCACATAATGCATAGCATGCAGATGGAAAAAACAGTGAGACTTAAAATTTCTCTTCTTAAAAAATAATATTGATTAATAATACTTAAGCAATCATAGATGATAAGTGAAGCAAAACTGTGTTATTCCATAGAGGAACATGGTGTGCTTAATGATCTATAGGATGATGTGCACAGTGAGGTTTGGCTGTRTTTGTGTGAGTTACACCTGGGGATTTTGCATACTGGAAATTAGAACCGAGTTGTCCATGAGACTTGGACAAAAAATACTTTCCCAAACTGTGGTAGCTCTCTGACTCTGSTCCTTACTGTTTGGAGACAAAATTTTGCAGGGATGGCTGCACCATGATAGTTTTGCTTTTTGATTATTTCTCTGCACCAAAAGACAGACCACAGATTGATATCTGCTGCTTTTTGACTCCCCAGCTCTTTATTCCATGGCTGGATGTGATGTCTGCTCAGATAGGGGTGGTCAGGACTGGTGAGACAACTTGTACTCAACAAACCCAGATGGACTTTGGGAGAATTTTGTATTGTAGRTTATTCATTACACTCAAAATGCTCAGAGCATTGTTTTGGGAGTGCTGCACTTGGGTTACTGTTTTTCTTTGATTTAGAACTACAGAGGGAAATGTGTGTCAGAACGAGGTCTGTGAATTTTGTGAGTGGAGAATATCTGTGTTCCTTAGTTGTTAGTTACCTGGAATTTCATTC